GACCTTGCTCTTTGTTTCCAATGTGTATCTTTACACTGATTTTCCATACACGAACTTTCAGCTCGTTTGGAGAGTTCAAGAACCGTGAACACGATATAAACTGCATTGCAATCCATTAGATTAGGCTAGATTAGTGTTAGGTTAGGTTAACAGAGATTAGATTAGATTAAACTATATTAGCTTAGACTAGATTCACGTGATTAAATCTTAAAATCAACACATAATTTTTTCTCGTCTGTATTGCATTTTTCGCTTCTTATAGAAACACTTAGGACAGGTAAGAACAAGGACGCTTTAAGCAGAGGTGACAGATCCAAAGGTGCCGGTGGTCAGGTCAGGAGAGGCCAAGGAATAGGTTGAGGTGGGGTCCTTACTTCTCATAGGTCACATCGGCGTTATATCCGCCTCGTTTATCGAAGAACTTGACCACCTGGTGAAAGAGAATGAAAAGACTGTGATAAACTGTGTAATTAGAAGAGAATGAGAGGAGGAGAGGAAGGATGAAGAGAACAATTAAATGAAGAAGGTGGATGAAAAGTAATTAGCAGGAAAGGGAGAAGAAATAGAGCAATGAAAGAGAAATAGAGCAGAATGGTAAAACAGACAAAGTATTAAGTTATATAAATACCAAAAGTTAATGAGTTATTTTTTTATCCTTATTTTTTCAATGTATTTAATCAATATATAAAATTTTTCTTGTCATCATTAACCTCTTGAGTACAAGAACCCTGACCCCTCGAGCACGAGAAAGTTTTAACACCCTTGAGTACCAGAAATTTGTAGTCCTCGTACTCAAATGGTTAAGGGTACTTAATCAAGAAGCTGGGTAGGGGGAAGGGGGGGTCATTGTACTCATGGGTTATTTTTTGTGTTTTAGGGACATCAGCTGAGACCCTGACCTGAGTACGACCGTCGGGCAGTATAACACGGACTTACCTGAGTACGACCGTCGGGTAGCAGGACACGGTGCTCCCCTGGTGGTGCTACCGTCACTGTTCTCGATGCCTGAAAGCGTTGCCGAAATCATGATTCTGGACGCCCCACTCGAAGTAGGATCCAGAGAGAAACAGAAGCTTAAGAACCTGAGTCATCACAGAGCTGAAGATGATGAGTTAGAGTATTGGTCTTTCAATGATCTATTACTCCTGATGCAAGTTTTATTATTTGCATTGATACAAATTAAAACATTAGATACCTAGTCTCTCTCTCTCTCTCTCTCTCTCTCTCTCTCTCTCTCTCTCTCTCTTCTCTCTCCTCACCGGCACCACTACACGGTTAGAGGGCTCAGGGAGGAGATAGCTCTGTTTTGGCTGCTCATAGTTGTAGCCCTGAAGGAAGGCACTCACGGACACTGCCACCACGGCCACGAGAACTGCCACGTACACCTGAGTCGTGACACGGACCAGAAGGAGATGAATGAGTGGAAGAGATGGCTGGATAAATGTACAAGTATAAGGATAAATACGTTCAACGAAGGATCAAATTACAGACATTCAGTTAAAGGTTGTTCAAGGGTCCCAAGTTAATATGACATTGATCTTAGGTCCATAGACACACTGTAAACATCTTGATGCACAGTGATTCAAGTAAAAGCATCACGCCCTCTCTGAACCACCTTCAATAACCCCAGCTAAGGTTGGTTCAGATTAAGGTTAGCACAGGGTTAAAATGTTCAGAAAAAGGTCAAAATAGGATTTAAAAAATATAGGAAAGATTAGAATAACTAGATCGACATCAAAGGGTTGAGAAGGAAATGAGATAAACATAAATTAATAATAATAATAATAATAATAATAATAATAATAATAATAATAATAATAATAATAATAATAATAATAATAATAATAATAATAATGATGATGATGATAATGATAACAGTTACTACTACTACTACTACTAATAATAATAATAATAATAATATAATAATAATAATCTGTTGTTTTATGTTTCAGTCCTGAAGACGAACTATGATAAACAACCCAACAGTCTCTACTTCCACTGGCCTAACACATAAGTCGTCTAACAAGTTTATGTTACGTTAAAGCTTTCTGAATACAGTGTTAAAGGTGAGTTGTGGAGTCGGTAAATATTGATGTTGTGGATAATGAGTTGGGTATACTGGATTGATGTATAGGTTGTGTGTGCAGGCTGGGTATACAGGTTAGGTATGCAGCCAGACAATGTGAGACCTTTCCAAAGCAGGAATACCTTGAGGAGACCACAGCCGCTGCTTCTGCCATAACTCCGGGTGCTCAAGAGGCTGCAGTGGCCTGTGTGGGAATTATTTTTAACATGCGTGAGAAAAATATATTTTAAAGAGAGGATGAACAGTGCTGGAATCACCACGATCACTTTTTTTTTGTTTATGAGTGTTATAGTCGACCTGTGGTGTAAAGGTCAGACATGCTCGCCTCGCGAGCGACCGGACCAGGTTCGATCCACGGGCAGGGTGAAACTATGGGCAAGTTTCTTTGCGCCCTTTGCCTCTGTCTATCCAGCAGTAATTGGGAACCTGAATGTTAATAGATTAACACGCCACCAATGATAGTTTTACGACAGTCTTTGGTGTTTTTTGTGTTATTTTGGTTGTACTAAAGTAGTTATAGTAGAGTAAATTTAGTATAAATAGTAATCAGTTACTTTATTACAGGATTCATAAAAACTTCTTTTGGATAAATATAGTTTTTGGATTTCAGATGTATGAAAATAATGACACAAGCTCCGGAGATGTTGATGACCTTGTTCCAACGATATTGTGGGTCTTGAGACAGTCAGGGATGGTGTCTGCAGAGGTGGAGGCAGACTACATGTGGGGGCTGCTCCTTCCCAGTGCCTCAGCTGGAGAAACGTCGTACTACCTGGAAACTTTTCGCTCTGTATATAATGATTTACTAATAGTAGTAAACTGAAAATGTTAAGTAACTCTCTGTTACATCACCCACAGCACATACCGTACAGTGTAATAGTTGAAGAATGAATGTTCTACAAATATGAACAACAGAATGTACTGTTAAACTTTCAGCTCTGTTTATTTTAGCAAAAATGTATTACACATGTGTTCAGCAGTAAACTGTACATAGTGACTGTGTTTCTTCATATCTTTTGTAAATACCGTTTGCTGCAACGATGATTGCAGAACATCCTTTAAAACACTAAAGAATTGCGTGCTGCTTCTCTGGTTTTCAAGTTAACTATATATAATGATTATTCATTAATGGCTAGCATTACTCTAGTAGTGCATCTGTATGTAATGTAACAGAGCCAGATTACGTGCAGTTTGTCATCAACATTATCGTATATAAATCTTACTGTGTATATGCTGAAAAACACTCGTGTCGAGTATACTTTTGTTTTATGTTTGTCTACTCTGCATCATGATTCACTGTGTAAATTTTATTTTATTTCACAATTACCTTTATGTAACATTCAGTGAATTCCACACACCCCTCTAACACTCCACACACCCCTCTAACACACCACACACCCCTCTAACACACCACACACCCCTCTAACACTCCACACCCTCTAACACACCACACACCCCTCTAACACACTACACACCCCTCTAACACACTACACACCCCTCTAACACACCACACCCCTCCTAACACCACACCCTCTAACACTCCCACACACACCCTCTGCTCCACACACACCCTCTATACACCACACACCCCTCTACCACACACCCTCTAACACCACACACCCCTCTAACACACCACACACCCCTCTAACACCACACACCCCTCTAACACACCACACACCCCTCTAACACTCCCACACACCCCTCTAGCACTCCCACACCCCTCTAACACACCACACACCCCTCTAACACACCACACACCCTCTAACACACCCCTCTAACACACCACACACCCTCTAACACACACCCCTCTAACACACCCACACACCCCCTCTAACACACCACACCCCTCTAACACACCACACACCCTCTAACACACCACACACCCCTCTAGCACTCCCACACACCCCTCTAACACTCCACACACCCCTAGCCTCCACCACCCTTACCACACACCCTCTAACACCCCACACCCCTCTAACACACCCCTCTAACCTCCACCCTCCTCCACACCCTCTAACACCACACCCCTCTAACACACCACACACCCCTCAACACCACACCTCTAACACACACACCCTCTACCTCCACACAACCCTCTAACACACCACACACCCCTCTAACACTCCCACACCCCTCTAACACTCCACCTCTAACCTCCACACCTCTAACCTCCACACACACCCCTCTAACACCCACACACCCCTCTAACATCACACCTCCTCTAACACCACCCCTCTAACCCCTACACCCTTCTAACACTCCACACACCCCTCTAACACATCACACCTCCCCTCTAACATACACCCCTCTAACACCACCCCTCAAACACACACCACACACCCCTCTAACACACCACACACCCTCTAACCTCCACCCCTCTAACACACCACCACCCCTCTAACACTCTCTTGTCCCCCCTCTATGACAAATGTCACTTGAGTTAGAAATGCTCTTTTGACTGATAGGTATATAATTTTAATAATAAAAATAGGTTTTTTTTATGACTCCCATTTCCTTTCATAAAATTACATACTTTCTGGGGGCCTTGCTTTTAAGGCCCCTAGTTGGGCCGCCCTGGGAGGGCCTGGTGCACTGCCCTGGTAAGTACCCTGGGGGCCGCCGGCTTGGAAGGATCATGGGGTGTGCCGCCCTTTTAGGGACCGTGGGGCGCCAGCACTGTAGCGCCCCTGGGGAAAAATTTGCGCTATTTAGAACTCTGGCAGATGCGATGTTATTTAAAAACGCCGCCCATCGCATTTCCAGTATCATTGCATATCCTGAACAATGTAACAGGGAATAATATCTACAGGAAAACATAAGTTGGGGTGTTGTGCTGGCTGATTGCTCTGTTCTCCTATTGGCTGTAATTTGATGAGCTTACATCTTACTCCGCCAATCACAGTTAAGTAAGGGATTACTGGACGTATGTCATATATAAGGCACCACGACCAAGAGGCGGTGGCGCCGCAAGGGTACTCCCAGGGGCAAAGGCGCCCCAAGGCCCTCCCAGAAGCGGCGGCACCCCTAGGGGCACTCCCAAGGGTGGCGGCGCCCCCAAAGGACCTCCAGGGGTGGCAGTACCCCTGGGGGCCTCCAGGGGCAGTGGCGCCCACAGGGGCCCTCCTAATGGTGGCGGCGCTGCCAGGGGTCCTCCCAGAGGCAGTGGCGCCCTAGGGGACCTCACAGGAGAGGCGGCGCCCCAGGGGCCCTCTTTAGGGTGAACAGCAGGGGTCCTGTCAGGGGTTGCGCAAGCTCTCCAGAGACGGTGGCACTCCAGGGCAATCATGCCTCCAGGGGCCCTCCAAGGGCGGCAGCGCACCTTGGGGTCCTTCCCAGATGCGGCAGGACCCTTAGGGGCCCTTCAGGGCGGCAGCACTCCTAAGGGGCCCTCCCAAGGGCGGTGCGCCCTTATGACGCCCTCCCAAGGGCGGCGGCACCTCCCGGGTCCCCTCCTGGGGCGTCAGCCGCGCTTCCCTGGCCTCCCAGGTGCGTCGGCGCTCCCAGGCAGTTAGTCTCAAGGCCTTAGGAGCTTCGGCGCCCCAAGGCCTTCCTGAGGGCGGCGGCATATCCTAGGGTTCTCCCAGGGGCGACAGCCTGAGCCCTCCCCTGGACAGTCCAACCAGTGGGTCCCCAGGGACCTTTCAGGGCAACAGCACTTCCAGGAGTTTTCCCAGGGCCGATGATGCCCCAGGGACCCTCCCGGGGCGGCAGCGCCTACAGGCCCCTCCTAGGGGCAGGTGCCTTCAGGGCAGTAGGATCCCTGCTAGGGGCTACGGAGCCCCCAGGGGCCTTACCAAGTGCGGCGGCGCCCCAAAACACTTGATAGTTGTGTCGTACATATTGCATTAATCCAGTAATCCTATTTAACTACTGATTGGTGGAGTAAGATGTAACGTCATAAAATTACCATAGGAGAACAAACAATCTAAAATCCCACCCCAACTCTTGGATATTTATTCTCCTTTTCATTGTTCAGGAAGCGATAATACTAGTAATGCGATGGGCGGTGTATTTATTTAACGTCATATCTCCCAAAATTCGAAATAGTGCAAAAACAACTACCCCAATGGGCTTTCCCAGATACAGTGGCGCTCACAAGGGCCCTCCCATGGACGGCGGAGCCCCAGGGCTTTCCCAGATACAACGGCGTTTACATGAGCCCTCCACAGACGGCGACGTCCCCCGGGGCTCTCTCAGGGGCAGTGGCGCTCCCCAGCGGCCCTCCCAGGGACGACAGCGACCAGGGCACTCCCAGGGAAGGTTGCCAACCCAGGTGCCCTGCTAGGGGCGCTGGCACCCAAGGGGCTCTCCCAGAGACAGGGGCGCTCCCAGGAACCCTCTCAGGGGCGATGCTGTCCCCATGGGCCCTGCCAGTGAAATGGCTCCCCCAGGGATTCTCGCCAAGAGTCGCCCTCCCAGGCCCTCCCAGGGACGGTGGCGCTCCCAGGGGCCGTGCCAGGGGCGGAGGTGGTCACAGGGACCCTTGCAGGGGCGATGGCGCTCCCAGGGGCCTCCCAGGAACGGTGGCACGCCCAGGGGCCATGCCAGGAACAACAGTGCTCCCAGGGGCCCTCCCAGAGACGACAGCGATCCCAGGGGCCCTTCTTTGAACGGCGGCGCCTCCTTGGGCCCTCCAGGGCACTGGCGACCCCAGGGGCTCTCCCACGGAAAACAGCGCCCCCCAGGGGCCCTACCATGGAGGGCATCACCTCTAAGGGACCAGCCAGGGGTGTTAGCGCACCCAGGGGACCTTCCAGGGCAGCGGTGCTTCCAGGGGCCCTTCCAGGGACAGCGTCGCTCCCAGGGTCCGTCTCAGATGCGCTAGCACTCCCAGTGGCAATGCCAGGGACAGGGGCGCCTTCAGGGGTGTTCCCAGGGATAGCGCACCCCAGGTGCATTCAAAGGGATGATGGTGCTCCAAGAACCGTGCCAGCACCAGTGGCGCCTTCAGGGACCCTTCCAGAGGCGGTGGTTCCCCACGGGTCTCTTTAGGGCGCCCAAAACAATGGATAGTGGTGTTGTACATATTGCATTCGTCCAGTAATCTCTTGCTTAACTGTGATTGGTGAAGATGTAACGTCATCAAATTACAGCCAATAGGAGAACAGAGCAATCAGTCAGCACAACACCCCAACTTATGTTTTGCTGTTGGATATTTATTCTCCTTTTCATTGTTCAGGATGCGATAGTACTGAAAATGCGATGGGCGGTGTATATATTTAACGTCATATCTCCCAGAATTTTAAATAGTGAAACGAGAATAAATATCCAACAGCAAAACATAAGTTGGGGTGTTGTGCTGACTGATTGCTCTGTTCTCTAATGGCTGTACTTTGATGACGTTACATCACTCCACCAATCACAGTTAATAGGGATTACTGGACGAATGCAAAATGTGTGAAACCATTATGAAGTGTTTGGGGCGTCCCGCATGTGGAAGAGGCCTGAGGGCGTTGTGGCCTGCCAGAGACCTGCCACCCTGAAGGCACCCGCCGCCACTAGGAGGGCATGTGCGCCGTCTGCCTGGGGGGCCCATAGGGGCGCCACCGCCCCTGGAAGGTCTGGGGGCAGTGGCGCCATGGGGGACCTGGAGCCACCGCCCTGGAAGGACCCCTGAAAGCGGCACCGCCGTGGCAGGGGCCCCTATGAGACTGCCGTCCGAGAAACACCCCTGAAGCGCCCCCTCCCTGTAAGTGCCTTTGGGATTGCCGCTATCCTTGAGGGGTCCTTAGCCATGCCAGGCACAGAGGCACCCCAGGGAGCCCACTGAGGTCGGCGGTTCCCCAAGGGAACATGTCAGAGGCGCTGGCGCCACCAAGGGGCTCTTGGGGACAACGGCAATCCGAGGGGCCTTCTCCCGGGAAGACGGCGCCTTCAGGGGCTATTCCAGGGATAGCCGAGCTTTCAGGGGCCTCTCCAGGACGGCAACGCTCCTAGGGACCCTGCCAGGGACGGTGGCGCCCCCACTGGCCCTGGTAGGAACGCTGGCATCCCTAGAGGCCCTCACAGGGACAGCGGCGATCCTTGGGGTCCTTCCAAGGACAGGGGCACCTAGAGGTACGCTTCCATGGAAGGTGTTGCTGCCAGAGGCCCTGCCAGCGGCAGTTGCGCTTCCACGGGCCCTTCCACATGCGGGATGCTTCCAGAACAATAGATAGTGGTGTCACATAATTGTATTCGTCCAGTAATCTCTTACATAACTGTGATTGGTGGAGTAAGATGCAACGTCATCAAATTACAGCCAATAGGAGAACAGAGCTCAATCAACAACACCCCAACTATGTTTTGCTGTCGGACATTTATTCTCCTTTTCATTGTTCAGGATGCGATAATACTGAAAATCGATGGGTGATGTGTTTTATTTAACGTCATATCTCCCAGAATTTTAAATAGTGAAACGAGAATAAATATCCAACAGCAAAACATAAGTTGGGGTGTTGTGCTGACTGATTGCTCTGTTCTCCTATTGGCTGCACTTTGATGACTTACATCTTACTCCACCAATCACAGTTAAGTAAGGATTACTGGACGAATGCAAAATATGTGACACCTATTTGGGCGATCCGCATGTGGAAGGGCCCATGGAAGCGCCACCGCTGTATGGAGGCCCCTGTAAATGCAGTCCTGGAGGACCCTGAAGGCGCCATCGCCGTGGCAGGGCCTGGGAGCGTCTCCGTCTCTGGGAACACCTAAAAGTGCCCCCTCCTATCTGGGCCACTGGGATTGCCGCTATCACTGTGGGGTTACTTGGTCATGCCAGGCACGGCGGCGCCCAGGGCCCTCTCAGGGTCGGCAGAGTCCCCAGGAACTTGTCAGGGCGCTGGCGCAAGGGCCGTGCAAGAGGCGCTCGAGCCCCTCGGGACCGTCACACAGACAGCGGCGATGCCTGGGCTCCTCCTCGACAGCTGAGCTTTCAGGGGCGCTCAGAGATGGCAACGCTCCTAGGGACCCTCCCAGGGACGGCGGCACCCCAATGGGCCGTGTAGGAGGTACTGGCGCCCTAGGGCCCTCACACGAACAGCGGCGATCCTGGGCTGCTTCCAGGACGGGGCGCCTCGGAAATGCGTTCAGGGCGGTGGTGCTCCCAGACGCCTTGCCAGTGGATCCTTCGAGGTCTTCAGGCGGTGCTCCCCCAGGTCTCTTATGGGGCGCCATTGCTCCCAGGACCCTTCCGCTGTGCCTCACCATAGGTTTTCCTAGGGCGGCGCCAAAACAATGGATAGTGGTGTGCATATAACATTCGTCAGTAATCTCTTACTTAACTGTGATTGGTGGAGTAAGATGCAACGTCATTAATTACAGCCAATAGGAGAACAGAGCAATCAGTCAGCACACAACCCAACTTATGTTTTGCTGTTGGATATTTATTCTCCTTTTCATTGTTCAGGATCGATAATACTGAAAATGCGATGGGCGTGTGTATTTTATTACGTCATATCTCAGAGTTTTAAATGAAACGAAATAAATATCCAACAGCAAAACATAAGTTGGGGTAGTGTGCTGACTGAAACTCTGTTCTCCTATTGGCTGCACTTTGATGACACTTCTCTATACTACAGTTAGTAAGGTTACTGGACGAATGCAAAATGTTGACACCACTATCTATCGTTGGGGCCATCCCATGTGGAAAAGCCCTGAAGGCTCCACCGCAATGGCAGGGTCTGGGCGTCTCTGTTCAGGAACCACCCTAAGCGTCCCCCTCCCTGCCAAGGCCTGGGATTGCCGCTATCACTGTGAGGGTCACTTGGTCATGCCAGGCACGGCGGCGCCCCTAAGGACCTCTCAGGGTCGGCAGTGTCCCCAGGGACCTGTCAGGGGCGCTGGTGCCATCTAGGGCGCTCTTAGTGACAACGGCAATCCCAGGGGCCATCCGGCAGGCGGCGCTCTCTGGGGCTCGTCCAGGTAGAGCCAAGCTCCCAAAGGACTCTCCTAGACGGCAATGTCCTGGGATCCTCCCAGGAACAGCAGCACCGCAATGGGCCCATTAGGAGGCGCTGGCGCCCCGAGGGGCCCTCACACAGACAGCAGCGGCGATCCTGGGCTGCTTCGGGACGGGGACGCTCTCGGTACGTTCAGGGACGGTGGTGCTCCTAGAGGCCTTGCCAGCAGTGGCTCCTTCAGGGCCCCTTCGAGGTCTGTGCTCCCCCCAGGTCTCTTTATGGTGCCATTGCTCCCAGGGACCTACAGGGCCTCAGCCTCCCATAGGTTCTCTAGGGCGCGGCGACCCCAAAACAATCGATGGTGGTGTCAGTATATACCATTAGTCAGTAATCTCCTTAACTGTGATTGGTGGAGTAACATCCAACGTCATTAAATTACAGCCAATGGAGAACAGAGCAATCAATCAGCACAACACCCCAACTTATGTTTTGCTGTTGGATATTATTCTCCTTTTCATTGTTCAGGAAGCGATAATACTGAAAATGCGATGGTGGGTGTATTTATTTAACGTCATATCTCCCAGATTTTAAATACTGAAACGAGAATAAATATCCAACAAAACATAAGTTGGGGTGTTGTGCTGACTGATTGCTGTGTTCTCCTATTGGCTGTACTTTGATGACTTTACATCTTACTCCACCAATCACAGTTAAGTAAGGGATTACTGGAAGAATGAAAATGGTGACACCACTATCTATTGCTTGAGGCGATCCCGCATGTGGAAGGGCCCCTGGGGGTCCCACCGCTGTGGTACGGCCCCTGTGGGCACTGCAGTCCATGGAAGGGCTCCTGAAGGTGCCATCGCCGTGGCAGGGCCTCTGGAAGCGCCTCCGTCCCTGGGAACACCCCTGGCGCCCCCCTCCTGTCTGGGCCCCTGGGATAGCCGCTATCACTGTGAGGTCCTTGTCCATATCCAGGCACGGCGCCCTGGGGCCCTCTCCAGGGGTCGGCGGAGTCCCCTGGGACCTGTCAGGGCGCTGGCGCCACCAAGGCCGTACAAGAGGCGCTGGCGCCCCTGGGGCCGTCACACAGACGGCGGCTCCCTGGCTCCTGGGACAGAGCTTCAGGGGCCGCCAGAGATGGCACGCTCCTAGGGACCCTCCCAGGGACGGCGGCACCCCAATGGGCCGTGTAGGAGGTGCTGAGCCCCAGGGCTCTCACACAGACAGCGGCGATATCCCTGGCTGCTTCCAGGACGGGCGCCTCGAGGCACGTTCCCAGGACGGTGGTGCCCCAGAGGCCAGCGGCGGTGACCTTCAGGGCCCTTCCAGAGGCGGTGCTCCCAGGTCTCTGTATGGGGCGCCATTCCTAGGGACCCTACCAGGGCCTGTGCCTCACCATAGGTTTTAGCGGCGCCCAAAACAATGGATAAGTAAAACATATAGAGCATTCGTCCAGTATCTTATTAACTGGAGTGGAGTAAGATGCAACGTCAAAATTACAGAATTTCACTTTGGTTGCTGTTGGATATTTATTTTTTCATTGTTCAGGAAGCGATAATACTGAAAATGCGATGGGCGGTGTATTTATTTAACGTCATATCTCCCAGAATTTTAAATACTGAAACGAGAAAAAATATCCAACAGCAAAACATAAGTTGGGGGTGTTGTGCTGACTGAAACTCTGTTCTCCTATTGGCTGTACTTTGATGACGTTACATCTTACTCCACCAATCACAGTTAAGTAAGGGTTTACTGGACGAATACAAATTGTGTGACACCACTATCTATTGTTTGGGGCGATCCCGCATGTGGAAGGGCCCCTGGTGGCGCCACCGCCGTGGCAGGGACCCTGTGGGCGTTGCCATCCCTGGAAGGGCCCCTGAAGGTGCTACTGCCGTGGCAGGGCCTCTGGAGGCGCCTCCGTCCCTGGGAACACCGCTGAAGGCGCCTCCTCCTGTGGCCCCTGGGATTGCCGCTATCACTGTGAGGATCACTTGGTCATGCCAGGCACGGCGGCCGCCCTAGGGCCCTCTCAGGGTCGGCGAGGTCTCGAGGGATCTGTCAGGTGCGCTGGTGCCACCTAGGGCGCTCTTAGGGACAACGACAATC